GAGGCTGTGGTGGAAGGTATTGTCAGGGAACTAGCATCGTGCACTATTTGGATATTGGTGGTGGACATGATTGAGATACCACTGGAAGCTGAGATTGGAAGGCTCAGGCTCACTACAGGACATCACTTTCCCTGAAGTTCATGGCCATTCCTAGAATGCCAGGCCTTCCTAATGGCATTGTGTGGGACCCCCTTGCAAATCATGCTCCCTGGCTAGAAGAGCAGTGCTCCCTGAAGGGATAGGAGTCTAATGGGAGCAGTAGCCCACACTATTATCAGACAGTGACATACTGAAAAATGATTCCTCTTTACTCATATTATGCCTGAGTGACTCAGCAGACAAAAAAACAACCCACCGAAAAAAAGGGCCTTCAATTTTTTCAGATTCTACAAACAATGATGAATGCTTGATGACTCATGGTTGTAAGAGATGGGCATTCTTTTTCCAGAAAACGAACATCCAGAATTGACAGCAACTTCTCATTCTCTAGAGGTGTTTGGTGGACAGACCACCAGATATCAATCCTTGAGCTTTCCTGCTCCATGTTGTCCAGAGTCCACCTCCACTTTGGGATTGCAGGGGTTCAAAATCAACTTCTCATTCCTAGAGGTGTTTGGTGGACAGACCACCAGGATCTCAATCCTTGAGCTTTCCTGCTCCATGTTGTCCAGAGTCCACCTCCACTTTGGGATTCCAGGGGTTCAAAATCACTTCAATTCAGAGGGAGGCTCTTTCCTAGTCTCTTAATCATGTCTTGAGATAAAACGTTTTGAATGTTTAAGTACTCAGTTTAAGTGTAAACCTTGTCTTCCCACCTTGCCCTTTGGTAGCTAATAGTGTTTTGCTAAAGCTTAAAAACATCATACTCTAAGGTCACAAAAATGTATATACATATTGTTTGATCAAAACAATTTTAAATTATACATTTCAATGTTTCTTATGAGAAAACTCATATAAACAAGAAGCAAAAACGTGATGTCCTATATTTGAATTTATATGACATTAAATGAGAGTGAAAATATATAATGACAGAAACTAGAATGGCAATTACCTGCAGGAAGGTGTCATATTTACTGGAAAAGGAGAGCAAGGAACCTGAGTAGGCAATGTAAAGGCTCTACATATTTACCTGGATAGTATTTCCTGTCACAAATGATGGAATGTGTCCACTGCATCTGGGCTCTGTTCAATGCTCATCAGTTTGTCTATATTTTTCTTCCTTTGTTATTGGGCAAGGTGGGGGCAGAATTTTTGAGTGTGGCCTGTACTGGTACAGTTGAATGGATTGTGAATTTTGGCAGAAGCAGAAAGAACCCCACCCAGCCTGTGTCATGCTCCCAGAGAGGAGACAAGAGATGCCTGACACTTCCCTTCATCTCCCCTCTTTCCACTAATGTAGTGATATAAAAAGAATACAGTCCCATGTCAGAGATTAGCCATAGCACTAGCATGTGACAATGAGAGAGATTATTCTTTGGGAAAGTATCTGCTATTCACTAAAGTCCCTAATATCCTCCCCAATTAACTTGTATATTTTTCTTTGTGCTTCCATTTCAGAAGTAATTATCTGAGAAAAGTTCTAAGCCTTGTACACTGAGTTCTTCTTTTATAGGAATAGCCTGATGAAAACGATTCAACAAACACTAATATAATTTCAGTTTAGCTAAGATGACTTAGATACTACCCACATTGAAGTAAACTTGTTCTTAAGCCTCACATCATTGGTGGGAGCAGTTACTGGGGAAAGATGTGTTCTGTAGATACCTGCTTCTTTGGCATGACTTCCATGCTCCTGATGAAGTGGGCCACTGAAGTATTTTATCTGCTTTACCCTTTCCTTTCCTACAAATGTCTGGGGTGACAAATGTAACTCCTATTGAATTCTTCACAATTCTAAAAAGTCTCTGGTAAACTAGGGGTAAATGAGAAGAGAATCTACTAATTACCCTGTACTAACACTTGCACAAAGCTCTATATTAGGTCCTTTACGTAAGAATATCTATTTCTTTATAAATTACTGTGGGAGGTTTGTATTATTAAAATACAAAATTTAAGGGTGAAATGAATAATGCTGTGAAAAAGAAAACCATTTTAAGGGCTAGGAAATGGCAGAGTGGTGATTCATATCCAAGTTTCCTTTTCGTGGGTTTACAATGCGTTGTCTGGAAAGGTACTATTGGAGAGAGAAACAAAGTTTCCTAGATACATACATAATTAATCATAGGCCGAGAAAGCAAATGTGTTCACAAAGGAGCAAGCAGCAAGCACTATTAGATTACCATTTCTGTGCTAACATGGTGTCGGGCATTAGGAGTTCTTTTTTTTTTTTTGGCTTTTTGAGACAGGGTTTTGCGCCTTTCCTGGAACTCACTCTGTAGACCAGGCTGGCCTCGAACTCACAGAGATCCGCCTGCCTCTTCCTCCCGAGTGCTGGGATTAAAGGCGTGCGCCACCACCGCCCAGCTGCATTAGGAGTTCTTTACTAGAAAATTCATAGGTCTGACTGTGCATTGCTGACTTGTTCAAAACTACATCTTTTGTAACACTTTGTAGGAGGACAGGGTCAGTGATAGGATATTTAGGAAGAGTTAGTTGTATTTGCAATGCCTAATTATTCTTTCTTATGCTTACCATAAATAAACATCTGCTGTAGGACACTACTATTCACAGGAAATAGCTTCATATAAGGCCTCGAATTACTGATGGGTGATGACATTTATTACTTATTAGGCAGTTTTATCTACATAACCAGGATTCTTCAGAACAGTCTAGCACACACACAGTTTTGTGTTTTCAATAAAAACAGGTTTTAAATTCCAGTTGAAAGACAGTTTAATTTATATTTTGGATAACTGTTTTGATAAAAAAAAAAAGGGGGGGACTGTAGCAGGAATCTTAAAAGTTCTTATTAATAAAATCAAACCTGAGCCAGGTATTGGGGTGTAGCTGGAAGATCAGAGAACCAGAACAAGCCACAGTTACCTTGCCTCGCCGGATCCTCAGCTGGTCTTGTTTCCTCAGACTGGAGGCCTCTGAGTCCTCATCCAGAATGGATCTCAACTGAACTGCTGCTCAAAAGCCTGAATGCTTAACCAGCCAAATGCTTAACCAGCCAAATGCTTCTAGTTTCTGGTCCTCATGCCTTATATACCTTTCTGCTTTCTACCACCACTCCCTGGGATTAAAGGCATGAGTCACCATGCTTGGCTGTATCCTTGAACACATGGATTTCTGCCTCTGGAATGCTAGGATTAAAGGCGTGTGCTACCACTGCCTATCCTCTATGTTTAATATTGTGGCTGTTCTGTCTCTGACCCCAGAAAAGTTTATTAGGATGCACAATATTTTGGGGAACACAATACCACTTCAGGGGACAAAGAAACTCTATATTTATTTATTATGTCCCGGTATGTGTATTTGTCATGAAGCCTACCTAGACAGCAATCTCAAACAAGGTTTAAAGGGAGATATTAAGCTTCCAGAAATTTAATGTATATTGGGTGGATTGGGCTTTGGAAACCACCACACTGAAAATAGGGTCTCACATATGCTCCAAGGCCAGCAGCTTCCATGAAAATTTCAGGTGCTTATGATAGGAATTTATCTCCAAAGGAGGTTTGCTTTTTGGACTCCATAAAATATTTTTTTTTAAAGAAAACTATTCAGGAGCAATTTTCTTTAAATAATCTATGCTGGATTTGCTTCCACAATACTGAATTCCCTTGTCATTGAGGGTTATGAGAATACTAATTTTTTCCCCTCAATGAGAAGTATAGAGAGTAAGGAGGGGAAGCTTGCCTTCTGAGGATGACAATTTGAGACAAACAATAGTAGGAAGTGTATTCATTTTGTGCCAAAAGTGGACTTCATAGGACACCATCCATTGATTGAAGAAATGGGAAAGAAGAGTTATGAGAAAAGTTGTACTTCAACAAAAATGCCAGCCAGGACATCTATTTTCTATTAGTGACCTTTGTGAAGATGATTGGTAGTCATACTGCCCTCTCTTATAATTAGAAGTATATATTAAGGTCTATCAGTACATTGAGAACCCACCTGAAATACAGACTTACATGAGATTGGGAGTGACAAAAATGTCCCATCAGAGTTTAATTTTAGAGAGACAGACACCACGTATATATTCCTTGATCCATCATTATAAAAAAATGTGTTTGTGTCATGCTGCCTATCTCTGCACTTACGCTGTTTTACTTTTATAGTTCTTCAAAGTCTTCATGATGGCTTGAAGGAACTTAACCCATTTATTCCTCTCCAAAGATGTCTGGTGTAGAAGAGAAGCATGATGTTCATTTTCCTCAATTTAAGTAACTTAGGCCATTAGTAATCTATCCAAGACTACAAGTTGCAATGGAATGAGCCAGTCGGGGTAATCAGACACTTTGGCAAAAAAGAATCATATTTTAATTTTTTTCATTCACAAATAAAAATAATTTCCATATTGCTTAAGTCAGAAAAATATTGGAAGTATTTACAAATAAAATAAGTATGAAAGTGATTTTTAAAAGCTTAAGAGCTTTTCACACATTAGATTGTAGTTACTAGAAAGAACCCAACTGTTTATCTATCTATCTATCTATCTATCTATCTATCTGTCTATCTGTCTGTCTGTCTGTCTGTCTATCTATCTATCTATCTATCTATCTATCTATCTATCTATCTATCTATTGACAGTAAGCTCCTGGTATAAGCACTATCTGAAAATTTGTCCTTGTGCCTTTGTTTCCTTACTTGTAAAATGGAAATGATAATAATTTGTGTCATTATTTCTTTGAGAATTGAATGTATTATCACATAGGAAGCATTAGAAGAGTTCTGGGCACATTGTCAATGCTCTAAAAGTGTTAGCTACTTTAGGTTGGCTTCCTTGGCCATTCTCACTAAAAGCCACAGGTAAGAAGATATAGAAGCCAGGTGTCAGGGAAGCCACTACTTTCAAAGCTTTTGTTTATCTCAGTAGTAATTGTTTTCTGTGCCCACAGTTTTTCCATCATGGATTGTCAAGAAAATGAGTACCGGGACCAATGGGGGCACTGTGTCACCTGCCAACAGTGTGGCCCTGGACAGGAGCTCTCCAAGGTAAACCCTTCTGATCAGTGCTTTGTTTTTAAACATCTCAGGAACCTGGAAAAGTGTAGTGCAGTGTGTGTGTGTGTGTGTGTGTGTGTGTGTGTGTGTGTGTGTGTGTGTGTATGTGTGTGTGGTGTGATGTGAAATGAATAAAGAAAAATGTTTAAAGAAAAAAATCTGTGAAATTCCAATATTAGCAGTACAGTCAATCTCAGATACTATTAGTTCAGTTCAGCAGATACAATGAGATACAAATAGTATGAAATAATAGTCACTGTTCAATCAAGAACTGAGGCTAGCAGACTCAGAGGCAAGGGAGAGTTTAATGAGATACTAGGGTACTTCATGAAGAGACATGTAAATATAAAGGTGTAGGCTTTTTGCATTAGAGAAATCTGTTAAGCAAAGCAAAGTATATTTAATTATGTTTAGAAACAAAATATCAGGTTTTGGGAATGTGGAAGAGAGAAGAACCAAGAAACCTGAAGTGGTGTCTGTTCTGAAGGGTCTGGTTTACTGAGAAAGCCATGTAAGAAAAGATTCAGTGATAGGAAACCAGCAGGAGCCTAGAATCACCCAATTAAAGGTACAAGCTTGAATAAAAAGAAAAGCAATGAAAACAGAGCAAGGCAGACACTTCTTATTTCTCACTTACTTCAGATCCCTTGTTGCTTCTTCAATTGGAGATGCTATTAAATTTAGCTACAAAGGCTAGAAGAAGACAGCCAGCAGAGCTTCTGTGTGCTCATGCTTGTTTTTACAAATTTATTTATTCATTTATCAATTACTTACCAAAAATTTGCAAAGCAGCCTGTGTGATTGTAGGTACCACAGTGAAACAAATTAAACACACACACACACACACACACACACACACACACACACACACACACACACACACATTGAGGCTCCAAGGACAAAATTGTGTTGTTATGATGCAGAGTGGGCAGCTACTTTGATGTAGGGAGTTGGGAAGAGCTTCCTAAGTAACTGCTTTCTGAGAATAACCTATAGCTAATACAGTCCCAAGTTGAGTACAAATTAACCTTGTTTCATGAATAAGAAGATTAACACAACTGGTTCATAAATAAAGAAAGTGGTATAAAATGAAAGGGAAAGGGAAGTATAGGTCAGACAATTTGGGGACTCAAAGTTTTTGATGAGAAGTATTTATATTTTTCCTAAGGGCACTAAGTATCTTCTGGGGGATTTAAGTAGCATGTTCTATTGGCTGAAAGAAATAAAGAAAATATTTACCCTAATTCCTTCCTCCATTTATAAGTTAAAAAAAATAAAGAGACTAAAGCCCAGGGCTATCAAAGGATAGTATTAACTCTAGTTTTAATATGTATCCTATAGTGGGATGCTCACAGGGTTGAGTAGGAATTCCAAAGCCAAGCCAAGGCTACCAGAGGATAGGTTGTATTGGATATTAGGATGAATCTAATGCAACGAATTTCTTGTCTTGAAAAAATACCTCTTTTAAATATTGCATCAGTCTTCATGACAAATGGTTTGGCTATTACCTTTAAAGCCATCTGTATTTGCAAAGCTGCATCTTTAAGGGAAAAGGAGGTCTGTTAATCTGTCAAGCTGCTGTCGTGAAATTCAGAAAAGGAAGGCCATGATGAAAGATCCATTTGACTCAGTGCCTCCCTGATTGCCATTTACTTCCACACCACTTGAAAGTTAAAAAAAAAACACACACACACACACATATGGCGATACTGTTTCTGAAAACCTTTAAATATAAAGAATTTATATTTGTCTGGTAGTCTGGACATTGTAAAGAGCTCTCAAGTACATGTACATTTTTTTGTTTGGTTTTGTAAAAGTCTTGCCAAGAAACTATTGTGAGCCACATTTTACAGGCTTGACAATCACAGATCAAAGAGTATGTGCAAATTGTTCAGCTGTAAGAGTACAGTGACAGTGAATACCTAAGAAATACATTTGGAATCAGATACAACTGGGTCCCATCTTTCTTTCAAATTAAGTAGGATGCACTAAGTTGAAAGTAACATTTCCCAAAAGAAGACATACAAATAACCTATGGGTACATGAAACCATGCTCAAAATCACTAATCAGAGAAAGGCCAGTCGAAACAGCAAGACACAACTCACCCTAAAAAGATTGTAAATAAAAATAATACTGACAGCCAAGCGGTGTTGGCACACGCTTTTAATCCCAGCACTCGGGAAGCAGAGCCAGGCAGATCTCTGTGGGTTTGTGGCCAGCCTGGTCTACAGAGCAAGTTCCAGGACAGGCACCAAAATTACACAGAGAAACCCTGTCTCAAAAAAACAAAAATGCATGAATAAATAAATAAATAAATAAATAAAATAATACTAACGATTTTGTTTTTAATGCTGGTAAATATGTAGAAAAAGAACTCTTCCACACTATGGTAAGAATGAAATCATGCTGTTAAATAGCTTGGAAGTTCCTCAAAAAATTTAAGAATAGGCATTTTTAGGGAAGATGGCAGATTGGAGATCTCATGATGCAACTCACTGAAAGAAAACAGGAGAGTACAGGATAATCTTTATTCTTGCAAGCGACAGTAGATCTAAATGGACTTATTAAGCCAAGTGAGATCTCTGTGGGGAAGCAGACAAGAGTGGCTGTGAACTGGTGCCTGGCTGCACAAATTGGCTCTGGTGAGGTAATTGGAAACCACAGGGAAGCACTTCGCAGTACACACACTCAGCAGAGCTGCAGTAACAGTTAGCTGCTAACCAAGGACTGGATATGCAATTGGAGATGAGGTCTTGGAACTAAAGCTTTAGTTCTCACAGCAGATTTCCTGTTGAGGTTAAGTGGGAATTGCAGGACACAAGCTCACACCTCCTTCCCCTTCCCCATACACCAACATGGTGACACAGCCTGAAGAAAGACCGGTCCCAAAACTGAGAGCTGGTTGGGTTCAGGGGCTGAAATGTGATAGTGTAAGTGACACACTCTTTATACCAAGCCTGTAGCTATAATCCATGGGAACCCACAACGAGAGACAGCAACCTGTTTTCTCCAATTGCCAAACCACACAGAGTACCAAGGAGGGAACGGAGAACTACGCTGCTCATCTCAATGTGGCTGTGCCAAACACTCAATCTAAAGTGGTATTAGCTAACCTCTATGAGACAATATATACACAAAACCAGGCTTTACAGCTTTATACTGGAATAAAAAACAAATTGCACCCCGCCCACTAGTGCAATTTGCCCCATGAAACTTTTGAACAGAAAAAAATTCAAAACCCATTCCTAAATAAAAGAAATATTGACTGATATGATTCTTTTAATCCAAAGTGCTTTTATTGCACTTTTTTGCTACTGTTAAAAGTTTTGTTAATTTTCATTTTTTTCTTTTTGCCTTTTAATCTTAACTCTTGAATAAGTACTTTGCAAGATTTTGCTTTAGATCATATGTTGCTCAGTTTGTGTGATTGTTTTGTATGCTTTTGAACCCATCGTACTATTATGTACTGTGTGGTATTCTTCCTACACACAACCCATGTATTTTCTCCCTCATTCTACTTTATTTTCTATGACTCCACTTCTTTTTCTTACTAACTCCAGCTCTCCAAAACTTTAAAAAATGTTTAAACTGTAGAAGCTATAATATCCCAATGCTCTGCTCCCAGATACTTTTCCTCATCTCAATTTTCTTCCAGTTGATTTAACACTAATTCCTATCTTTATCTAGACCACATCCCTTCTACCTGTAATCTTGGTAACACTCTTTTACCATACTATCCATGTGTATTAGTACTCCCATGGTTACTGGAGTTAAAAGGATCACTGCTGTTAATTGGCTAGAAGGATATTTTCATAGGAATTCCATCCAGCAGTGTGGTTGATTGTACAGATAATAGTCAAATATTTGGTTGTGTCAGGCACCCTGAGTACATGACTGGGGGTATAAATTCTGAACTATGCATATAAATTCTATCAACTGAATACTGAAAATAGTTTGACTGCAATTAAACAACTGATAAACTCAATCAACAAAAAAATCCAGATGCATAGATCTCAATGGAATAGAACAAGAAAGATGACAAATCAAGGAAATATGACCTTCTCTCCATGGAAAATATCATAATACTGGTCCACAGTGATAGTGAATTAGAAAAAAGCCCAGAAAAAATATATAAAGTTTAATAGGATGTTTAATAAAAGATGAGAGAAATAAAATCTTAAAAGAACTCACAGAGAGTAAAAATAAAGAGTCATATATAATAAGAAAGTCAATATAGCATACAAAACTGGAATTTAATGAAGAAACAGAAATACAAGAAAAATAAAATTGAAACATCAGTAATAAGAAACTCAGCAAGTAAAATAAACTCAATTGATAGCCTCAATATATAATATAATGGATCTTGTGGAAGAAAGAATACCAGAAGCAGATGAAAAGAAACACTAAAGACATAAACAGAAGTAAAATAATTAGAAAATATAATTAAAATATTTGAGTTCTTTTGGACACCACCGAAAGAGCAGATTTGTCTACAGCACAACTCCTGTACTGAAGACTCGGGAAACACTATTGAAGGAGGCGAGAGGAGGCAGAAAATTTGTAAGAGCCAGAGTACCAGGAGTCCGCTGTGATATTGTGTATCTTAGAAATGACAAAGAACCTAGAGCCACAATACCTCAATGATATGGCTGCCTAGACAATACTTGAATAATGGCAACACAAATACCATGCTAAGGTAGAAAGGAGATAGCTCATAGAGTCTCACCCAGAGACTAAGAACTACAAGCAACTAAGGCTTTCTGAGAGGAGAATTAGACTTACTGAAAGATGAGCTCCTTAATTGGTTATCCAAAATACCAAGTGAGTGAGTGGTCAATCCTGAAATCATAAACATAACAGCAACACTAAATGGACCCTGGATGCTGTCTTTATTAATTTATGCATTTATAGGTATATTTAAAATTAGGAATTTTTTGAGGAGACCCAAATAAAGGTATAGAAGTTGCTAAAGGGAGGAAATGGAAAAAAG